CGAAACAAAAGGATGGGCTTGGTTCTTCGAATGATGGATTCTATGAATCTAAGAGGGAGTGGTTTGGAAGACGTCACTTTATTTTACCATTTGAAAGGTATTGCTAGATTTAATTGTATCTGTATGTTTATATTCGGGTCGGGTGTTTGTTTATTATTTGTGAATTGTAAAGTTTCTATTACGTGAATCGTAAAATTATATGACGCAAATCAGTGGATTTTATTGAAACACTAATCATGTTTGTGAATCAAAAGTCGACGAGTCCATTGAGGTTTTAGGAAATTATCTTTAGCTTGGGTTTCTGGATGCTTGAAACTATAGCTTGGAGAGGAACTGGTTTTTTGATGAAGTATTTCCAATTTAGCTTCCAGATTTCTTCACATTAAAAAAGAGAGGAAAAGACTGGATATGGTCTTGCGAAGGAGTACGAATATTTGAAGGGTTCAATCAGAGAATATTTAACATCTTTATTCTTCCTCTGTAACTTATAATCTATTATGCCTTTTATTGGATTAAATGTGCATTGATTGGAGATAGACAAATTTTGAAATCTGATGGAAGATAAATTCTCCAAACTTGTACATCTGATTGTTTATCCGTGTCAATAGTGAGCTCTTAGTTTTTTTTTTCCTTCCAGTAGTTCTTGTTACTCCCTTTGTTTGGAAATTTTCTTTCGACCACTTTTTATAATGGATAAGAGTTTATGAACTGTTGTTAATGTACTCTATAAAACTTCATGAAGTTCTATAGTTATATGCTGGGTTTCAAGAAGTTCAATCTCTTCTTTAGTTTATTAAGAAACAAATGAAAATCATCACTTTGAAGACCATTATGACATGGAAGGAGACGACTATTTAATTATCATGTTTAGAAAGGAACATGCATCACCACTGTAGTGTTTTATTTATTTCTAGTGGGATGATGTGGCTATATTTTTAATACAGGGAAGGAGTTGGAAGAACGTACTTTGGAAGCAGGATTTTCTACTGCCAAACATTACATAGTCTGGATAGCTTGGGTTCAATACTGCAGGCAGGAATGTTAAAACTAGACTCATTGCCAGTGTGATTATATCCCAGGTAACATTTGCGTCTTGCTTTATGATTTATCTAAATGGACTGAATATTCAGCTTGTTCATCATCTTTATTACCACTAGATCAGGATTTTCAAGCCATAAACAAGCCCTGTAATAAAAACCATAAATGGAATTTAGTAATAAAAATTCTTTTCAAGCTTGTAACTTTTTTTGTGGGGAGATTCAATTAAAAGTTATGTTCTATGTTAGACTTGCAGAATGCCCTGGTGAGAATCTTAAGTGTACACCTTGAAATTCATCAAATCAGCCCACAAGAACCATCAGCATGCCCTGCTCCTAGACCCTGTACGGCTTATTTTGAACCAAAAACAGCCCCTTTTTTTCCCATAAATTAGACTTCAATCCAAAACCTAATTTCTCTTCATACACATGTAAAATTTTCAAAGCATTAGCTGGCTGATATTGGTTACAGAATAATCCTCACGTTCCAACCGCTGTACTAAATCAAGAAGACCAGAGCAGAAGTTAATAATTAAAAATTGAACTTGCAATGCCAAGAAAATATAGTTGTAATAATTGTTAACAAGCTCATTTATTTATCACCACTAAAATGCACTAATAATCTACGATTTTTTTTTTGCTTCAGTTGGGGAACTCCTGCACATGTAGTTCTCCTTGCATTTTGCTTATGGACGAACATTATTGTCACGGCTATGCTATTTCTTGGTGGCTCTGTTGTTGTAAATGCACTTACAGGAGTGAACATTTACGCTGCCAGCTTTCTGATACCACTTAGAGTAATTGTTTACACTCTTGCCAGAGGACTAAAGGCAATTTTCTTGGCAAGCTACATACATTCTGTTATAGGTATTTCTATTAATTGAAGGTTGTGTATATTTTGAGATGCCCTTGCTTATTATTCATTAACCTTTTTCAATATATAAAAAAAGATTTGTTATTGAAATCTGTATGGAAGATAGTAAAAACCAGTTGAGGTCCTGGATCTTAAAAGGTACCAAAGGTCTAAAGAGCATCAGCTGTAGTTTCATATCTTGTTTTTGTCCTGGACTCAGTGATGTTTTGTTGGTGCTGCTCAAATGGTCAACGGAGGAAACTTCCTGTCCAGAAATTGTTTTTACCTCTGCTGCTCTTCAGTCCTACTTTTCTTCATTATAAAAGAAATGCTCGTTTTTTATTATTATTATTATTATTATTATTATTATTATATATATAAATATATATATCAGTTCCTTATTGCTGTTAGAAATGCTCATCGGCTGTCATTACATTCTTGCAAGTCATGGCCACGTTCATCACCTCATCAAGTACTCTTGAACTTTTAACTGATTCTATGTCTGTTTATGTAGCTTGCAAACATCATGGGGCGTTTTCAGTGGCTAACATGTCCAAGGAAGGTAATTTGTTTGACAAAATGTTAGTTATTACTGCATAATAGCCTAATAGGTGTATTGTTCACTGTAAAAGAAACTTGTGGTCTTGCAGGATTTATGAACTGGTTGGCTGCAATGTGATCTTTGGATTTTGTTTAAGCCAGAGTATTACACTCTACCAGGATGGATTCCTCAATGGGTGAGTTAGCTGACATTCAATTAGACCTCTATAGTTTTGAGCTATGTACTTATCACACACCAAAGGCTATCAACCTAAAAAATATTAATCCATCCTTAGTACATCATGAACTGTGTTGAAGTTTGGCCTTGAATAGGAATTAAATTAGCATCTTATTTTGTTCCGACCAAAATGTTTTACATGTTATCCTATTAGTGCTTTTCTTTCTGAAAATTGATGTGATTACTTTGTCCTAGAGCCTTAGATCTGTTACTTGATAATTCCTTCACTGTGGAGAATAATTCAATCGCTGATGAGAATAAAGCTCCCAAACTTATCAAAATGAAAAAGGTCATTGTGGAGACTGATATGTATAGTCTTGGAATAATTCTGTTTGAATTACTTTCAGGGAAGGAACCCAAACTTATCAAAATGAAAGAGGTCATTGTGGAGACTGATATGTATAGTCTTGGAATAATTCTGCTTGAATTACTTTATCCCCAGCTTTGTTATGTGGATGCATATAAATTTGTGAGAAAGGGCCAATTATCAACAACAAAAGTGTCATATTTCTTTCCAGTGCCCCAGCAATTGTACCTGTAAAAGAGGGTTTTTTCCATTTGTATCTGCTTTAGATTGTGTACATAAGAATGATATAAAAGAGGGTTTTTTCCAAATTTTGTTCGACGAAATTTTAGCGTTGAGGGAAAACATGATAGATTTGTAGTTTCTTATTTGTTTTGAGTTTCATTTTTCAAGGACATTCTATTTTTTGGCTGTAAAATTGATACTCCCATATTGTTGGCCCCAAAAGTTTAAATGAATATATATTGCTGCAGCCATATACTACTACTTATGCAACCTTCAATCCATGATTTGCAAAATGAAATATATAATTAACAATTTCATAATAAATAATAATAGGATGTCCTCTTCAACATACAAAAAAGGTCTCAATGTGTCATAAACAAGGCTAAATAAGCAACGAAAATGGTGACCCTAAATGTCTCTTTCATTCATCACCATAAAAGTGTCTCAATTTGCAATGAACTACTTATACCACTTTCTTCATATCCATAATCCATATTTGGAGTTGTATTTATAAGTTGCGTATTTAAAGATGAACCCTGCAAACAAATATATACATTCACGCATTGTTGAACTTGGAAAAAAATTTATTATTAAAACATAACTATAATAACTTACTTGACTCAAATACACTATAGGCTCATCACCTTGTAACATTGTAGTAAATGGCATGTTTGAACCTCCTATATCCCAATACTAATAAAAATAATATTTTTAATTAGCCGAAAAATAAAATGAAAAATGAATGCAGTACAATTAAAATTTGAAGATTGTGTATACCGGAAGGGGGCACCAACTTGACTTAACATATGCATATGTGGTGGTACTTGGTAGTATAGAATTTGCATCGAACTTGCAAGATGATATTGAAAATTATGAATGTTATGTGTGCTCATACTTGGAGAGGATCCCGACTAGACAAGAATATATAATAAATTATAAATATCATAAAACTTCATGTAAGAAATATGGTAATGGATTAAAAGAGTACCTCATCTTGGTCATTTGTTTTTTACCTTGTAGGAACTTTGCATTGAGAATTTTTGCCTCTCTTTTTCTCTACAATTGAAAAGGATAATAATCTCGATATATTATTATTTACATCTATAATGAAAATGAAACTATAAGTTAAAAGGTATTCATAATAAAAGTGACAAATGACATTTTTTTATTTTACAAACCTATGATTGTTGCTTTTGCTTTTGTCTTTGCCTTTTTCTTGGATTTTTCTAAGTATCCTTTGAATCTTGCATTGGAGACACCTTTGGTCTTTGTAAGAGGGGGTTCAAGATAGGATTAACTTCAAGTGTCTCTTCTACATTTTGCCCATCATCCATTTCATTTTCCATTTCTTGACCATTAAAAGAAATGCTCAATTTGGCTAATTCATTCTCAATATCTTTATCAATCTTCTTTAGTCCATCTTGAACAATCTCTCTTGCTTTTACGTTTCCTTGACTTTTCAAGATGATATTGTAAGCATTCTCGCATCATGATATTTTGGTAAACCATCTCATAATCATCATTCTTATCATCCATACTAGCATTATGTGTCCCTTCTTTCAACCATCTATTTCTTGCATTTTTACACCATCTACTTAACACATATTTATTTGGAATTTCGTCAAGGTTCTTAATGATCAAGATCTTCAATGCATGACGACATAGCAAACCCATAGAATCAAATTTTTTACAAGAACAACTTATCTCCATAGTGGACGTATCCAACTTTACATGACGAATCATTGAGCCTTCCATTCCTCCAACCTCAAATTCATAAACACCATCATCGGAAGATAGTTGAAATCAAAAATTTCCTATGGCATTCTTGAACTCCTCCTCAAACAATTTGAAAAGTTTGTGAGTATAAACATTTGTTGCATGGTTTAAAATCCCACTACCTTTAATTGCTTGAGGAGGCCAACTTTGATTACAACGAAAATCCTCTTCGACCTCGGAAGAGCGCCATCCCTTAATAATTTTCTCAAATGATTTAACAAATTCCACGAGTGAAGTAGTTTTGTTTGCCACATCTCCCAAAACATTGTTAGTGCTTTCACTCCGTTGTGATGATAAAAATCCAGCTGAAAAGAAATCATTAGACAAAGCGAGTGCTTCAGTTTCGCATTTCTCATATAATTACTTCAACCACTTGTGCTCTCTAAGATCAAAGGCATCTAACATTTTCTCCCAAGTTTCTTTGAACTTAATTTCGGATTCACAACCTTTCAAGCACTTATGAAACAACTTTTAGAAATCAGGATTTGAATTCGGACCACCAAGATGGTTTGGAGCATTTTTAGTCATAACGTGTCACAAACAAAGCCGATGATAAGTGTTAGGAAAAACAGTTTTAATCGCATTAGCCATTGCTTGGTATTGATTAGTAAAAATGACGACTGGTGCTTTCCCTCCCGTAAAATCCAAGAATGACTTGAATAACCAAGTAAAAGAAGATTAGGTTTCATCTAATAAAAATGCACATCTAAACATGATATTTTGCCAATGATGATTAACACCAACAAATAGAGCACACACCAAGTCATATTTGTTTGTGTGATACGTTGTGTCAAAAACAACATCACCAAAAAAATCATAATCAATGAATGACTTTCCATCCCTCTAAAAGAAATGTGTCATTCTATTTTCTTGATCCACTTGCACATCATAAGAAAACATCGAGTCTTCACTTTGCTTCTTCTTAAAATGATTAATTAAGCTTTGTGCATTACCGGGCTTAATCAACCTTATTTTTTTTTACCAACAAAGTTATAACAATCTCTCTTAGTAAACCCAAGGTACTCACTACCCCCAACTTCTCTCGACATATAAGCAAAAGCATCCCTCGTTCTTATGCCGGCATTAACCATTGTGCTAATAACATTAGCCTTTAGAGTTGTTAATGCTCTATTTGATCTCAATAGGTGAGCTTCGAAGGTGAAGCTAGTTCATGATTATGTATTGAGACAAAGTGTGTGATAACCCACAAACCATCTTTAATTGTTAATCTGATCATTGCTCCATAATCACTTTTTGTTTCAAATCTATTATGCTGATTTGTTGAGATGGGATCCGTTTCAACTTTACTAGCTTTGGAATATCGAAACTCCCTTTGGCGAATTGCATGAGACTTTCCACTTGCTATATCTTAGCTTAGAACGTCTAACACCGAAACCCGTTCTAATAGCATACTCGTTATAAAAATTATACGCTTCTTCGTCGTTGTTGAATACTTTTCCCATCAAATTATCACATTCATTGTGACTTCTATTGACATGAAGAGCATTTTTCTCTATGATCACATCATTAACATTAACTTCAGAGCATATGCCTACACAAGAAAAACAAACAAGGAAGAAAACAAATATTTAAATTAAATAATTCCAAACTTAACCAATTAAAAATATATTTGTGAACTCTACCTTGAGTTTTGTTGTAAGAATCTTCCATTTTCAATTTGCAATCCTTTTTCTTGTCTCTTGCTACTGTCGATGCTCACAGAAAATAAAAAATTCAAGGCAATAGCTAAATTTTTTTTTATTTTGAAACTAGACTTCTAATTTTTCAGAACAAAAAAACACAGCTCACCATCCCACCAATGTCTGTATAGCATCCCATTGATTCTGTGCCAAACTCTGCAATTTTAGAACAAAAAAAACAGGATGTTCAACTCCTTTCATGAATGCTAAAGTAAATAGCTGAGAATTATGCTTCAAATGCATGAAACAGAATGCAAGTCAACCTGGCAAAGATAATCAAATAGCTGTCTATCGCTATGAACGAACTTTGTGAAGAAGTCTGCAAGATAATTTACCAAGTTAATCTGCTAGGAACATTTCAAGAAGTCAGTAATTGCTAGATTTTTTTGGCTAAATTGCCATTTGATATGATGCTAACAATTTTCTTACTACAGCTAGATTTTTGGAACTTCTGCAGTGCTGATAGAACTGATTTTGGCGACCCATTAGTTTGGATCAGAAGTCATTTAATGTTCATGGATCAAGGATTTCAACTTTTGTGCCATGCGAAAGTAAGGAAATTGCTTTTTCTAATGGGAGCAATAGCTACTATAGTTATTGTGGTTCAATATTTCGAATTTCCATCTAGTAGAGTATTGGTCTCTCTTTTCTCTGTTGTCAATAATAGAAACTTCTTGTCCAGAAATTCATTGATAGATTCGAAAGCTCTAAGTGACATGACACTTTCAAATGGTTTAAACACAACTAACGCTGGTATACTTCAAGAGACAACAAATAAAGGTGAAGCCTCAGACAACAAGCAAGAAACAACCGAAGTTAGCCAATCGAAAGAAAAGGAAGGAAGTCCAAACAGTAACAATGAATCAGAAAGGAAAAGAGGCTCAAGTGATAGTTTTGGATTAGTTTCAAATGAAACTAAATCAGATGATCTTGCAAACCAAGATAAAATTCGAATCCAGAAATATTATAAAATCCAGAAAAGAGGCTACTCGTTGGCAAGAAAGGAAGGAGCGAGAGACGATGGAGAAGGAGAGAGAGACGATGGAGGAAGATGAAAGTCTTTCCTGGCACCCACAAGAGAGAGAGAGAGAGAGAGAGAGAGAGAGAGAGATGATGGAGGAAGGAGAGAAGATGATGAGTTAATTTTTGTCTTTCCTAACACCCACAGATAGAGAGAGAGAGAGAGGCGGCGGAGGAAGGAGAGAAGATGAAGAGTTAATTTTTTTTATTTAATGATAGGGTTTGTTTATTCCTATATGTAAAAAATTATACAAATAATAGATAATAAATGGAAGAGGTACTTGTATGATGTGGAGTTACAGACGTGAATAATTTCTCCAAAATCATTCAGAGAGTGCTGTCTTCAGAGTCTTAAGTCAGTTTGTGTGGACTGTTGGATACACACGTGTCGGCCCATAATTGCCATAAAATTTCACTGCACTTCACTTCTGTAAGAAGACTGGTAAACGCATAACAAAAATGAGAAGCGAGGACGACTCAAAGCTTTTCTCAAGTCCTAATAAAATTAAAAAAAAAAAAAAAAAAGAGAAAAGCAGTACTTGTCTGGGAAATTTCCAAGGTAAAAAGCTAACAAGGTGTCATGTTTTGGTTGGCGTTGATCAGAGAATGGCCCTAACTATGAGAATGACCTTGTCTTTATGGTGGACACCATAAACTGGAACTACACCGGTTCTTTTTATGGATTTTTCTATTTCTCTGTTGGTTGAAGGATACAAGCTTCATGTTGCTTTTAAATTCTTTTTTCTGCGTGCTTTCTTCTTAGCCAGCTTCTGAAGGGCCAGTTATTTGAAGTTACTAAACAGGCTTGATTTCCGACCAATTAGGAAGTTGACAATTTGATCCTCTACTTCTATCCTAGAATTGGAACCTTGCGGTGGTGCTCCAAATCAATTTATAGATTAGTGGTCCATCCATGAAGTCACCATATTCGTCGATCAAATTCTTGATTTTGATCAAAGAGGTTGTAGCTTAGTGATAGCGGTCTTTTGCAACAAAATGTCACGGGTTTAAATCCTAATAGATTAGTTCTACAATGAGCTAATTTTACTAAGAACTTTCGATGTAAGAGTAAAAAAAAAAAGAAAAAAACAAAACAAAAAATTCTTGATTCTGCATTTTTATGGATCCAGAGATTGGACTCTTACTAGCTAAAATGGTGGTGTTAACAGAATTCTTGATTCTGCATCTTTAAGGTTCCCGGCCTGGTCAGTTGGTCTGTGTTGTTTGTTGTAGACTTCCAGTATTTTCTTTCCTTGTTTGTTTTTCATTTTTACCTGACTTAAATTCCAGAAAACATTCTCGGTTCACTTTATTCTTGAGTGCAGATAATACATGAATTAACTAGCCTCCAAATGGGAACAAGCCAAAATTTCAAGGCCTCAAGTCAAGTCAACAGGGGTCCTTGTCTAGATTGTCCTAGGTTGTGTCCCACCGTCCCTACTTCTTTATAAAATGTTTCTGACATCTAACACATTTCCACTGGATGTAACTCGTACAGGGATGATGCCTTTCGTGGTTTCCAACAGTATCTTTATACAAGGTATGTCACTGAGTGGACATTGTAGTAACAATCTGGTACACTGAGATTAGATATCAGGATTTCTTGACTTTGTGCACTGTATTTATTTCATATTATCTGTTCGTCAAAGAAGGTTATGCGGATCTTAGTATTGATTACTCCGTCAAAAATTAGTTTGTCGGTCCTGTAACTTGGTGATGGGTAATCTGGATTTTTGGCTTCTGGGGCTCAGCTTCATACTGCCTCCAGGAAGCTACCTGTGGGAAGGTTGCGGCTTATCCCTTGGTAGTCTCGTCATGGTTAATGTTGATAATTGTATCATTTGGAATACATCTTGTTGATTGTCACATTTCTTGACAGCTGATTTCTTTGTCAAAAGAAAGCTACATTAAGGGGTTGTAAGTTGGCAAAACTTCTCATTCGTAGTGTGGTTGGTAAGAATCTTCTTCACTGGGGAAGTTTTTTTACCGTACAGAATGATGATATCTCCTCCATTGGGTTAAACTTGTGATCTTCCACTCAAAAGGAGGTATCACGTGGCTACATTGTTTATTGAATTATTTTCGTGGAAAAGTAGTGCATCGGTCATAAGTGATTATAATTGATCAGATTTCTCTTTCTCCTTCTCCAACAAAGCAGCACAGGTATTGTGTATTGTTGTGTGGTTCTCAGCTCCCGAGGACCTAAGCGGAGACCTACTTTTCCAAGTGGAAATATTTGGCAAATGAGCGATCAATGAATGCTTTGTTTTGGAATTCCTGTTTGAAAAGAGCCTTGGTTGTTGAGGTTAAAAGGAAACGAATAGTTGACTGAGACTGGAATGCTTTGTTTCCCAGGTCACCTCCGTTGTATTGGGACCTGGGAGAACGTATGCCTGAGAAAGCAGAGAGTAGTACTCTGTTCTTTGTTTCCTTATTTGCCCCCAAGTTGGCATGGCTTATTTAGGAAAAAAACTCACCGATTGCTAGAACAAAATTATTTTAAAATTTTAAAATTTTTTATTCATTTAATTTTTTAAATATTTTTCATAAATTTTTTACTTAAAAAAATATAAATCATTCTTCTTTTTAGATTGATTGTAAAATAAAAAATTATAATAATTTTAACTAAAATATTAATAAAGAATTAAAACAATTTTAAAATATATTTTTCATAATATTGTATTTCAAAAAATAAATTTATAATTAAAAGATAGATTAATTTTTGAAATTATCCGCGAAACGCTACGTGTTGATAGATCAAATCATTTCAAAATTTTATAATTTTTTCATTAATTTTTTTATTTAATTATTACTAATTATTTTTTTGTGTGTATTTTTCATAAAATTTCTACTTAAAAAAACATGATTTATTCTTCTTTATTCAGATATTCTTAAATAAAAATTTATAATAATTTAAACCTAAAATATTAATTAAGAATTCAAAAAAAATACTTTATATATATATATATATATATATATATATATATATATCTAAAAAATATAGTTACAATTTATGCATAGACATGGATAAAAATTAACTAATGAAAAAATACAATTTTATTCTTATTTAATGTTGGTGAGAAGATTTTTTTTTTTTTTTAAAAAAGTATATGCATTTGATCTTTATATATTTATTTACAAAATAATAATCAATAAAAATAACATAAAAAACTATATTTGAATAATTAGTTGGTTCCTTTAAAAAATTATTTTATTTCAAATAAATTGGCTCTACAATGTTAAAAAAAATATTCATAGTAAATAATTTATATTATGTTGGAAGATGTATAGTTATTTTTAATAAAAACAACGATTCAATAGTTTTTTTTATACGTCTTGACCATACCTAATGAACTAAGATAAATTATTTGAAATACACTTTTAACCTCTTAGAATAAAATAATTATATATTTATATATATGCAACTATCATTTAAAAACTTTAAAAATTCATGATATATATTATACCAATTTATTTTTTGAAGAAGAAAAAAGAATCATATTTTAAAATTTTATCCTAAAATTCAAACTTAGAGAAAAATAAATTATATTTATCAGTAAATAAAATTTTATATGAAAAATATTAATTGGATGAGAATTTTCTTAAAAAAATAATAAATTTAAAGAATAAAATTTAAATAATAAGAGTAATATAAGATGAAGCATATGTTAATTTTAAAACATAATATATAACGCTACATGAAAATGTAGGAAAAGTGAAAGCCGAGAATTGAAAAAAAAATGTTACAACATGAGGGACGAAAATTGAAAAAATGTGTTAAATTTGCTTATTAATGCCTAAAAAAAAACAAAAAACCACACACAAAAATTACTTACATTGTCATCAACCCATAATAAATAAATTTTAATATAAATTTAAAAAAAACATCTTAATATTTTTTTTATAACGTAGCATCAAAGAAATAAAACAATAATTAATATAAAAATTTGTATGAAAATTAACAAATAAAGCTTTTTTTTTTACTAATGAGAAGATTTTTTTTTTAGATATGTACATTTGATATATATATATATATATATATATATATATATATATATATATAATATAATGAATAATATTAATATACAAAATTTTATTTGAATTTTCAGGTGGTTATTCTAAAATATTATTTCAATTATTTTATTTAAAAAATAATTTTAATATATGAAAAAAAATAATAGTACATTATATATATATATATATACAAAATAATGAATTGTGTTTGAATTTTTAGGTGGTTATTCTAAAATATTATGTTAATTATTTTATTTAAAAAATAAATTTAATATATTAAAAAATAATAACAAATAGTTGGTATTGTGTGTAGATATATAGTTGATTTCTAATAAAATCAATTACTCTATTATTATTACTTTTTATACATCATGACCATACTTAATGAGTGAGAATGTACAACATAAATTAAAAAATATTTTAAAAAATTAAATTATTAAATATATATTGAAGTTAATAGAGTGTAATAAAAAATAAAAAATTGATTTTAATAAAATTTAATTATATAAAGAATAAGAAAATAAAATTCATATATATATATTTTAAAATCAGATTAGATAAGAAAAAAAACTTATTCAAATTCATAAATAGAGAAAATAAATCATATTTATTAATAAATAAAATTATATAAAAATAAGAATAAAAATTAATTTGATGTGAATTTTTATAATAAATTGAAAAGATTAATTTTAAACAATAAGAGTATTATATATTTATTCTAAAACCTAAAACATATATATATAATCGTCCGTTTATCCGAAAAAATATCGATTGATTTTTTAAAATTTTAACACCTAGTGAAATAAAAAAATATATATATATAAATTAATGAAAAAAAAAGCTTAGTGCATTAGCTAGGGGTTAAAATTTTGATTTTAAAATTTTAGGAACCAAAATAAAATAACTTGAAAATTACGAAAAAAAAAACCTAGCTACGGTGAGTGAATAGTAGTTTGTGGGGAAGTGAACAATGAAACTCACTCGTTCAAACATCCCACCTCTATTAGTTATACTAGTTGGA